CCCTAATATACTAGAAGTTCAAAAAGAAAAAGAAAAGCAAACTCTAATGACGGGTTGCCTCCCGCAAGCGCTTCTTTTTGTGCGATTCTTTAGCTGGACTCTCAACTTAATAAACTTCTAATAAATTCACTGTCAATCCATCCATTGCATTGATTATTCTCTTTGGACCAATTTGAAAATTTTGGCTCTTTGCTTCAAAAATTGGCCAAACGAGCTTTAATTCATGTAACCCAAGAATCTTGACAAGGGTTGGAACCAGTCAGGTATTAATCAGAAATGGATCATGCTTTAGAACTTTCTCCAAAGTTGGAATCGGCACCCCATGCTTCAAAACACAAACCGAAAATACAGGGGGACATGTCGTGGTAATGGTCAAACCACAGCTTGGTTCCTGCAATTCAGCTTGTTCTTGTTCTTCGTCTGACCTCTCTGTTAGCAACCTTTCCAGCCCCTCCAAATCTCTTTCCGAATTAAATACTTCGTCTTTTAACTTCAGCTCTTGTGACTGAAATTGTTCTTGTTTATTAGGCAAGATATCTAACCATCTTCCAAATTTCTTCAAATTATCATCTAATTCATACTCCTCATCTTCTTGCTCAATTTCATGTACTACATCCTCAAGAAAAGCATCAAAAGCATCGAGATTTGGAAAATACATAATAAATAAAAAATAAAAACAAAAATTAAACTATATATAAAAACGATAACAATTAGCAAATAAAACTAACTAGTTGAACCGTTCCCCGACAACGATGCCAAAAACTTGATGTGTGTGAAACAAACTAGTTTTAATCCTACTAACTTAAACACAAAGACAAAAACACAAAAAACAGTGTACCTATCGATTAGCAGTATAGTTCAAGCAAGTAGGATATCGAACACAGGGAACGGTAAACAATTACAATAAATGCTAATATTATCTAAATAAAACAAGTAATAAAAAGAGGGGGGTTTCTCTAGTTTTTACAAGACTAGAAACTTAAATAATCAATTTAACACTCAAACAAAGACTATTAACAACAAAGATGAACAAGAAAGGACAACTAGACTCAATGATAAAAGAGACTTCTGTTCATATTCGATTCACTTATTCCTATGGTTGATTTCGTGGCAAGTGCAATGGATCAATATGTCAATGGTTACCAATTCCTAATGTGATTGTGTTCATGTTCACTATTACCAATCCTTTATTAGACAAGTTAATTCAAACAATGTCTAGTTGATTAAACTAACAAGTTTCCTAGTATTTAGTTCGTATCAAGTAAGACTTGTAATAATAGCTAATCGAATTTGTTCAATTCAATCAACTCATATGTGGTTGTTCATCACACATGTTCACACATTGATTTACACATTTTCTAGTTAACCCTAGTTTCATATTCACTATTCCTAGGCATACAATCTTGTGTATGCCAAGACAAATGACGTGGCAATCAACATCATTGTGAAAGAACTACCGGGTATTTATGAGAATGGCCAACATTTTCACATTAGGTGTATGGCTCATATGATAAACCTAGTTGTGAAAATGGGGTTAAAACATGAACTTTATCATGTAAAAAACCTACAAGATGCAGTGAAATACATTAGAGCCTCCCCGCAACGGAAAAAGACCTTTAAACAAACCATGAAGGATGCGACTGTAGAAAGTCAAAGGTTTTTGTGTGGTGAAACTCCAACAAGGTGGAACTCTACTTTTGAATTTCTAAGATCAGCATACGATGTGAAAGACACATTTCTCGAATATAGCAATCAAGGTAAATAAAATCAAATATATTTCATCACAAAAAAATAACAATAGTTACTTCTTTAGCAATCTGTCCAAATTTTAAATTGTCCATAACTAATTCAATTTAACTTCTTTTGATCTGAAACTTTTTCCTACATGTAGATTAGAATTTGTAGTTGAATTTAGACTATAAAAACCTTTGATTTGGTTAAAAATTGAATGACTAACAAGCCCCACAAGGAAGGGTGTCAAATCTGAATTTTTTTCTAACAACAATAAAACGTAATCTGATTTTGTTGTTCAAATGTGCATAACTCATTCAATTTAACTTATTTTGACCTGAATCTTTTTCCTATATGTAGATTAGGATTTGTAGTTGAATTTTGACTACAAAAACGCTTGATTTGGTTAAAAATTGAATGAGTTAAAAACCCCGCAAGGAAGGGTGTCAAATCCGATTTTTTTTTCTAACACTAATAAAACATAATCTGATTTTGTTGTTCTTTTTTGTAGATCCAATGTTTCAGAAAACTGTGGGAAGGGTACCATCACATTTAGATTTTGAGATGATTAAAAATATGATGGAGTTCCTTGAGAAGTTTAAGAAGAAAACTGAAAAAGTTTCGTGTTCAACAAAACCTATCTTCCATACGTATACCCGGGAGATCCTAGACATAGAGCAACATCTTAGGAAACATGAAACCAACCCGTATTTTATGTTTATGGTACCAGATATGAAAGATAAATATGACAAATATTGGGGTGACTATGATACTATAAGTGATTATGTCTTCTTTGCGACATTGTTAGATCCTCAATGAAAGTCAAAGTTTATGAAAGTTGTTTTTAACCAAATGCTTAAAGCCAAGAACAAAGATAAAAAAGATGTCCGTTGATGAGATAGAATCCAAAGCACATGCAAAGGTTATTGATATCGAATGCAAATTGGACAAGTTTTTTCAAGACATACTTGGAAAGGTCAAATATGACCTCATCGTCTTAACAAGAAACTCCCGAAGAAGTTGTTAATTTTGATGACGAAAATGAATTCTTTGGAAGCTATATGACTTCGGTAAGTTTCCCCTCGACTTCGTCAGAAAGTCAATTGCAACAATACTTAAACCATGACCCAATTAGATTTGATAAATGATATGATATCCTCACATGGTGGAAAAATAACGCGGTGTGGTTCCCGACCTTTGCTCGAATGGCAAGAGGTATCGACCTTCTTTTACTCTAATTTTCATTTTTAATTTATAATTTCGTGTCGTGTATTACACACTAATTTATTTCATGATAGATATTTTGGAGATGCAAATTTCCACCATAGCATCCGAATCTACATTCAGTAACGATCGTCGAGTAATTACCGACTACCGTACTAATTTTTCCATTGTGATTGTGGAGGCATTGATATGCACTCAAGATTAGCTAAGAAAGAGTAGCTTGCCTATATGTGACTACGATGAAATACACAATGTGTTAGCTAACGATGACCTCGCTATCAGTAATACACTAATACTTGTTACATCTTATTTTTAACATCTTATTAATATTTCTTATTTTTTAGTAAGTAATAATGTTTTCTTTTGTATTATATATAGACATTGTGGATGCTATACACAACTTGAAGCTAACAGGGAAGAGATCGGGGAATTAATTAAAATGTCAAAGAAATGTTGGAATCCATATATTAGACTTTTTTTTTTTTGTTCGTGAAACTTGAAAGTATTTTTTGAATGTTGAAAGTGTATTTTGAATGTTGGATAATTAATAACATAACTTTGACGACATCCATATTTAATTTGGTTATAACCTTTAACTTAAAATATTGATTATTTACGAGTATTGGAAAGATTACATTTAATCTTCAAATCAAAACGGCTAAAGTCACGGCCTCTTTACACATGTGGGTACCACCATTGTAGATGCTCTATATACAAAAACATTACGGTTCATGGATTTCCATTTATAATATAATACTAGCTTATACAAGTGCTCGTGAGTTAGTGCCAACATTACGGTTAAACATCCACTTCTCCACAACCAACCAATAAAACGCAAAGTAATTGATTGGTGGTAAATGGTAATTAAGGGAAACTCTAATGGGAACATCTTTTCCTACAATTAAGTTGTTGGATACATCAAAATATAATCGGTTCCAAAGTCGAGTAAATGTGTTTGGTAAAAATTGGAGGTAGCCGAATCCAAAATCGAAAAACAGGGAAAAACCGGAACCGGTAGAACCACCAGGTCGGTTCGGTTTTTGATTTTGGCCAGAGCCGGTTCCCCGGTTCGGTCCGGTTTGGGCCGATTCCGGTCAGTTCTGTTCTTTTGCTCATCACTAATTTAAACCTAAAATCCAAGCCTATTTATGTTTCGGATTCTTTAGATTGACCAGATTAACCTGATTTCATATATAAACCCGATTAAACGAGACTTTATTTGTCTTATTCACATTTGAGTTGGGTTAATTTTGACACCCAAGCTGATGTTTAATAAAAAAAATCACCATGTTATAAAAGCGTTTAACCACTTAAGACCGATCTTTGAGATTAATATTAATTATGAAAGGGAAGGAATGGAGTGAATAGAAGAATGTTTTTTTTTTTTTCAAATTTTCAAGAGTTTTACTACATATAATTTTGTGGTTTTTTAAAAAAAAATTAATTTCACATATTATTTTGTGGTTGCTTTGTATTAAATGAGGTTAATTAATTAATGTATTTATTCTATTAATTTGGAAAATAAAAATTATAAATGCTATATATGTGTTTCTTTCCTATGATATCATAAATACGTACCCAATTTTGATTGTGTCATCCCAAATTCTAAGCTAATCGTATATATTTTCCAAAATAATATCATGCTTCTTATATCGTATTATAATTTACCATATAATTACCAAACTTACACCAATTTGTTGACATATATTGATTGGGTGCGTCAAACTTTAACTTAAATCATAGAAGTTAATTTATATCGATCTTAATTTATATCGATCAAAAGTCGTTTGAAACTTAAGTACAACCTTTTAAATAGTTTTGATAGAAAAAAAATACATTACAATCCAAAACAAATTGAAAGTAACTCTTTATAATTGATAAATTCAATGTAATTAATTATAATCGATTTTGATTTAATACCATTTTTAGTTTTTTTAACAATTGAACTTTTATTTTAATCAACCAGTATAATACACAGGTACACAGCTCTCACACTTAGTATTAAATAATAGTTTCAAATACTTAATTCTTTGTATCCTTAATATCTACATTATGCATTGTATTCGATAATTTTAATGTGCATCGAGTAGTGTTATATTACAAAGCATTGATGTGCATCATGCAATAAGGTGGTTTCAAATAAAAGGAACCGCTTCTGTAACTTACAATGCTTGAATTACAAATATATTCTTGAAGTTTTAATCTGAATTTGAAATTTAAACATTATATAATGATTAGGTATCAAATTTTTATAGGATAATATATATTCTCACATATTGAGCAAACATGCTATGATCTTAAAACATAAAGCAACATACCAGTGGCAGATCTGGACCACTAAACAACACAACTATATATTTTACATATGTTTCTCTCAACCTTCTTTATTATGATAAGAGTACCACTTCAAACATCCATACATTATATTAGGGACTAAGAATGACGCCAATAGAGTCGAGCAAACCCCCATGTTTTCCATGGAATCCAACAATTTTACCTTTAATCACTGGCACAGAAAAAGTTGCCCCCTCTTCAGTGCCGAATGGCCCGTAGGACTTTTCGTTCGTCTCGAAAGATAATGATGTAATCACGAGGTTGTTTGAAACTTTTCCGATAGTTCCACTAATCCCGATGATGTTTTCACTATCAGACAATTCAACCTGAATACCCAAATATATCATAATTGCTATGTGGAAAAATAAAAATATATAATTGTGTATATAGGTAGCAGCAAGTTGATGTTATTAAAGCTCACCTCATCAAGAGAGCCACCATTGCCACCATATATTTCAGAAACCTCTCCATCATCGTCTTTATTCATGTAACTGAAGCTGATGGAATCTACTGCGTCTCCACTTTGGATGTATATACCGTAAATCCTACCATCTGGTTGGAATATCCAGGGAGTATCTCCACCCTTACCTCCCCAAGGTCCAATTACTATGTCAGTACTGGATGTCGCCTGCATATGGATCAAAAATAAAAAATTACTGAGAAGTGAAGAAATGAAGAATACATGGTAATCATAATCCAAGCATTCCTAAATCTGGAAAATGAGTTCTCATATATGGTGAGAGAGTCTACCATTTCGCTCTGAATGTACTTTTAAGCGAATGAAGTTGTGCATCAAGCTGCAATCCATGCATGACTATATATAGCCATGAGCTTGGGGTTGTAAAGGAAATAAGTAAAGGTCAAATCGCTGGTCATTTTTTTTTCTTCATATATTTCATTTTGTTTTGTATAGGAGATGACTAATTAAACTTAACACACAATTAACTAGATTGTTAGTCAGTAGCTTTTAGGAAGAATCCTTACTTTACTGTTGGGTGCTAATTGCGAAAAATAGTTTTGCATGTCCACGTAATGCAATGTTATACATTGTTAAGTTGATATAATTAAAACGACATGAATCACGCACATTACATGTGCATCAACCCTCGATCTAGATCTTGACGGAATCTGGAATGCATGCAATGAGTGGAAAACATTTCCCATGCCAAGATCGATATGCACCACTATTTGATGACCTCGATCATTTAGAGACCATTAACACTACCACGATCGTGTCACCTCATATTATCTTCATTTTACATGATATGATATTACATAATTATTACATTCCTATACTAGCTCCTTTAGTGATCGGGTAATTTCCCAACTGTCCCCAAATAGGTGGGAGCCTGACATGCTCCTTTGATCGTTGGTGTTCAACATTTTACCTCTTATCTGATGGACATATGGACACAAGCCGTGAGACATGAGACATGAGACGAAGGTTTGTCGGTTGATTTTGAAGGCTCAAAGTGAATATAAATCTATTAAATACAACTTTTTAAATAAATAAGCAAAATTCTGATAATTGTTATACTAATAATACTTATGAAAACATAAACACTCTAAATCATTAGATTGTAAGATGTTGGTTGTGTTTGGCAATCAGTTTTAAGAAGCGTTTGGGAGCTTCTAACTTTTAGTTTGACAAAACTTTCTAGTTTAAACAAAAAATTTCGTTTGATAGTACGAGCTTTTAGTTTTTAGTTTAAACAAAACACTTCAAATCTAAAAGATACCTCATATACCTTTTAACAAAACACTACTGAGCTTTTGAAATCAATTTCCATAATTACTCTTAAAAATATATTTATATATTTATTTGTTTTTAAAAATATATTTAACAAAACCCGATATCCGCTTTCAACTAACAGCTACTTTTTTGCTAAATACGTTTTAATTAATATCAAAATCCTAGGTTCCTAGGGAGAATTAGCACTACGGGCGATACATAGCGGCGATAAATAGGCATTATTATCATCAGATATGGATAGTGGCGACTTTGTAGTGTCCTATGATGGAGCCCATTTTAGCCTTTCTAATCCCTCCGTCACCTTTCTAGCTTTTAAGGATGTTAGTCAAAAAGAAAAAAAGAGACTTGTCGCTGTCATTGATGATTAAGGAATTTTTTTTAAAGGAGGACGTGAAGTAAGAAAATGGTGACACAATCTATAAAAGTAGGGTTACCATAATTATGATATAAAGGTAGCTGCCTATTAGGCTGAAAGGAGTCAGCCGCTAAGAACGCTTGCCGGGAGCTCGCTAAGCACGCTACGCACCGGCCCCTAACGCACGATGTGAAGCTCGCTACCGGTGAGTCACTAGGAGTATAGTGAGAGAGAGAGAGAGAGAGAGAGAGAGAGAGAGAGAGAGAGAGAGAGAGAGAGAATTTGGCTTGCAGTGATTAGTGATTCCAATTCAAAATTTGGCAAATTCATAAAACAAAATCCCTCCGTTCTTGGCAAATGAGGTGTCGAAGCTTCAATTTTTATTGCTAAAACTTATTGCGTTAAAACATGCTGCGTTTAAACCCGGTACTGGGGAAGAGAATTGAAGAAGAAGATAAAGAATTTATATATTTGGTCCCCAAAGTTTCGGTAGTTTAGTATTTTTTATCCCAAAGTTTAAGCAATTTGATATTTTTTGTCCAAAAACAGATTCCTTCTTATTTAGTATTATGTTTTAAATTAGTGTAACATTTTTTATTTAAATATTAAGCATTTGTATTTAAAAAAATATAACTTTTGTAATATTAAATGTTTGTGTATTAAAAAAATATAATTAATTAAATTTGAAAAAGAAAAAAAAAAATTTTTTTAAGAGTGTTACTACTCCCCCTATGAAATGCTAATAATTAAGTGTTAAGACAAAAAATGATGTGATACTAACAAAAGTGATATGATAAGGTACTAAGAATATTACTACTCCTTCTAACCTTACCAACAAATTATGTTTTTTTCACCTGAAACTTTGAAATGTTAATTTTGTTCGACTAAAATAATTAAGTTGAAGACTTATAAAGATAACAATCAACATCAAAGAGTGGGGCCGTTGCCGCCAATGATAGTGCTTTAGATTTGCTCCTTAAGCTGTTTTTATTTTAGCACTAATTTAAAACATGTGGATCATAGGGTTGGTAAATTAAAGCGACAGACATAATAATAATCGATAAATGACTTGCTATATAATTATAGAAAACAATATTCAAATTTATATATATAACTAAAAACTAAAAAATAAAAAGACAAGTAATATCTAGATTGTAAACGGATATTTTAATTAGATAACAATCGCAGTATTAACGTCAAAAAGTAAAAACTAGTGTATAATATAACCAAAACTAATCACAGAATGAAAACCCAAATAAAAAAGATCACTGTTTCTCTCTACCACAACTCAGCAAAACCATCATTGTTTCTCTTTCTCACAACTCAATTATTTTTCATTTATTGGTATAAAAATATACTACTAGGAAAAAAAGGCTATTTTGACAGACATTGTCGTAAATATATAACAAATAACTTTCGGTCATTCAAAGTCATGTTATAAAGGAAAGCGAAAGACATTTGGAATATAATAAACTTTACGATTGACCTTCATGACCTACAATTACCACATACATATAACTAACATGCGCTTTCAATATATATTTACGACTGACTTTCTATCTCATTATTGGTAACTTTTTATAATTATTGACAAAAATATACAACTGAAAATTATGTCAGGTACTGTACGTCATTATTTTTGACATAGTTTATGACATACATTTGTATGTCATGGTTTTACATTTCTAAATTTGTTCCAAATCTTAATGAAACTATGTTACACATTTAAGATCTAATAATACAAAATAAAATATTCAAAATATATAAATTTAAAAAAAAAAAAAAAAAAAAAAAAAAAAAAAAAAAGACAATTCATTACCCACCTATAATGTCAAATTCAAAAGTATGTTCCAAATTCATGAGTAAGTAATTGTAAAATACACATCTGGTAAATAAGGTTGTGACATAAGTAACATATTCTTGATGCACCTTATCAAACTCGAAGTTTGTATATTCATTCTTTCACTAAAGCTGAGACAAAAATTAATATACTAGCAAAAAAACAATTAAATAATTATATATGTAAAAATTCTACAACACTTAGAGTCCTTCATCGATTAACTAATAGGTTGACTTAGGTTCTTTTTCAACACTTTAAGTCCTTCGTCAGCAACCGTTTTTATGAACCTTAGAACAAAATACCCACATTCTGTGTATTTTGTCTAACCTGGCACAAAGGGATACTATACAATTAAATAATAAACCGATAAATAGAAAACAATAATATATTTGCCACAAAAAAAGCATAAATGCAAGAGTACTTATTTATGGTAAAGAAATCTTAAATGCTAAAGAAGCAAAGTACATTGCTAATTCCAGCACTTGAGACAAAAAATAAAATAAGGCTAAAATAGTCATTTTACTTGAATTTAACTGTGGAAATCAAACAACAATATTTTATGAGACAAACATGTTACACAAGTATGAAATGTGTGTGTTTGAGTGTTTATATATATATATATGATAGCACATTTTATTTTTGTATTTTTATTAGTTTATTTTAGTATTTGTAGCTCTTTTTATTAGTATTACATTGTATATTCTTTATTTTCTTTATCATGGATCGTGTTGTGACAATCGTCAATCTTGAGTCAAGTCGAGTCATCAAGTCAAACCGGTCAACTCGATTTAACCTTGTGTATTAGGGTTTGTGTTATGTTCATACTGTATAACTTGCTATATTAATGGGAAAACATCACTTGGGAAAATTCTTGTGTTAAAATTTCCCGAGCCTTAGAGCAAATCAATGAACTAAACTGATAAAAACCATGTTGCATACTCATCGGGAATGTGTAAAATCCTTAAACAAGGCTTAACAGTGTTTACGAACCTTGCATTGCGAAGCCGGACACTCACAAATGACACACTCGAAACCTCTCTCAATCGCTTTCACTCTATCTCTCTCTATTTGAAATCCCTCTAAGTATGTGAAATCTCTCCCAAAACTCTCTTTGTATGAGAAATCTCTCCAAGAATGTCAAATCTCTCCAAGTATGTGAAATCTCTCTCAAATATCTCTCTGTATGAGAAATCTCTCCAAGAATGTCAAATCTCTCCCAAATCTCTCCAAGTATGTGAAATCTCTCTCAAATATCTCTTTGTATGAGAAATCTCTCCAAGAATGTTAAATCTCTCCCAAATCTCTCAAAGTATGTGAAATCTCTCTCAAAAGTTTCCCGTAACTTTTTATAGTCTTTCGGGCCATCTCGACCCTTAACCGGGTCAAAAACGGCTTAAAACGGGGTAAAAACGAGAAAAATGGATCTTAGGAACCGAAACCCTCTCATAAGAGAGAAGCCTCTCAGGACCCGAAGGTCCTCTCAGGACCGAACCCGAGCCCAGGAGGAACCGAACCCGAGAGCAGGTGGAACCGAACCCGAGCCTAGGAGGAACCGAACCCGAGAGCAGGTGGAACCGAACCCGAGCCCAGGAGGAACCGAACCCGAGAGCAGGTGGAACCGAACCCGAGCCCAGGAGGAACCGAACCCGAGAGCAGGTGGAACCAAACCCGAGCCCAGTAGGAACCGAACCCGAAGGTACTGTTCATCTACTGTTCATTCGGCTCATTTCGGGTCTGACACTTTCGCCTCTTATCTCCGGACCGAACCCCTCGCCTTATCCTCTCACTTCCTGTTCGCACCTTTCGCTTCCTCACCCCCTCTCGTTCCTCGCCTCCCTTCGCTTCCGGCTACAGATCTCAGCAAGGACCGAGTCTCGGCCTAGGGACCGAACCTCGGCCTAGGACCGAGAGGTCTCGCTGGGAATGCTTTTCTTCCCGGTGTTTGCGTAGTTTTGCGTTTAAGGCCCGTTTTTAATTATTTTAACGTGGGATTTTCACCCAAAATCATATTTTAACATAATAA